CACTAGATATATTGACCTTCTTGCGATCTTTACTGATAGAATTCTAGTGACGTAAATTCGGAAATCGATCACTTCCCCTTAACGGTTAAACATAGCAAGGTCAAGGTAGATAACTATGGAGATACATACGGTAGTCGTATTCGCTGGGTAGTCTTTGGTCGGTCACTCCATTGCACCACGGCGAGGATTGGGGTGGCAGGGAAATCGGCGGCTGCGTCCCCGTTGAGTGACTCGAATTCGTCAAGAGCGCGAGGTCGCTTCCCAGAGCGTGCATTCTTCGCCTGAAACGCCAACGTGGGTCCATGAACTCAAGCGGTCTTGTGGCACATTTTGACCCAAATGCGACGGGACAGATTAAGAAAAATAGCTGGTAGCACGTGGGAAATAACGAGTAAAATCTTTGAGCTGTCAGTCATCATGTTGATATTTAACGGTGAATGTAAGGTGCTAGATCACAAGTGTATATTTCGCAGCTGTCCATTATCATAGAAAGAAAAAAACGGCAACTGGTTTGGCATTCCAGTGCTTGTAGCCAGCAGATGGTTTTTGAAGTGACTGATACAAACTGACGCCGTTTAGGAAGCAAAATATATCACAATGAGGACATATTATAAATGGTAAATGAAATGATCTAGTGGTCTGGAGAGAGGCACGAAGGTAAATCAGAAGGGACTAGTTATAACTGTGTTCCAGTCAAATTGACGTCGCTTTAAGTAGTTGTTTGGCACAAGGAAAACCCCACACAGTTTTTAATAAACACTGCGTAAATTGATTAGGCGAACAAACACTTGCACATTTAGTCTTTGACTTCCTGGTGTGCAGACCAGCCAACGCTTACGTAAAGTACACTGTCATTTAACCCCTCAGCCAGAATAGCATTTAATTTAAACCAATTTCGTCCTGTTTATCAAATGAAGCCTTGCCTTGGAGAAGGCTTTTTTGGCATGCAGTCTTTTCTACAAACCTACCAACACGTGTGCAGCTCTCTGCTTGTTTGTGGAGTTGCAACTCAACAACACTGTAATGACCTAATGCTCACGACCTAGAAGCACTTGACTTACGAGTGGATGTCGGTTGTGGCTTCAAAAGGCTTCCTGTGTTTGTTCAAGTGTGCTTCAGGTGGGTCGGCTGGTCAAATTTTCGTAGGGCGGCAGAAATCCACTCGAGGCAAAAGGGGAACACGTGGTAGCAAGTTGCTGTCTGCACGCGAGACCGTAAAATTTCAACTCTTCTTCCCACTCTAGCCTTTCTCTCCTCTTCGCAATCACCATGCTAGTGACCAATTAGGGCAAAGTCTCACTCGCAACACGCGCGCTTGAGTACAAGTCCGATTGGTTCGCTTGTGTGCGCACGCGAACACACATGCTCGCATTAATCCGCGCATGCTCACCCGTGTGTTCGTCTTAATGCTTGTGTGCAATTAAGTAATCTTCACCGGATACACACAAACCTCCATTTGCCACCGAAAACTTGTTCAAATATGAGTGACAAGGCCAAGTTCGACCTGATTTTAGTAAGTTTCCTAACATTGAATGACACTTTTGGTAAGTGAACTTCGTACCGAAGTTATTCAAGTTAGAATCTGGTCCAGCCAACTGACAGTGAAGGTACCGTGGAATCATGGAGGGAAGGAATGCGGTGTTGTGGTGCCAGCTCACTCCATAGCCGACGCAACTCCGCCTACCTAACACCTCATGCTGCTATGAGAGCTGCGAACGAAGATGCAACACTTCCTCGTGACGCAACGCGTGATCCGCGCCTAAAAATATCTCAACTACTGCTCCTCTCAGCAGTCGTAAATGCAATCATCTGGATGACGCAGTTTAGAAAGAACCAACAGCTCGAAAATTCTCCGAATTGCCTTTTACCCTGCCAGGTTTTAACGGCCAAATTAAAGGAATAATTATGTAAAGAAGGAAACATATTTTTGGTCAAAGAAAAATTTCGCTGACACGTCACTTATTTGAGAATAAGATCACTGAGTGGCAGATTGACTGGATATTAGAATTTTAAATATTATTAGAGAACCTATGTTAATAGTTGTTTCTTAGACATGAGACATGTTTTAAGGACTTGCAGGTATTTTAAATGCTATGGATAGTGGACGCAACTGAAAGGCAATACCTTGTTTCTGCTTCGCTACTAATAAATTGTTAGTAGAAATCATATAACATATGTTGGCATTTTGACTCCGATACTAGAACCTTCAACAGATGTCTGTGACAGCATGGAGGAGCTGCGTTAGCCACGTAGTGGATTTAGTGAGGACCAAAACGTTGCCAAATTGCAAGACCCATTTTGTTTAGGTGGACATCGAGGGCTCCGGAGAGTGCGGTGCTATTTCAGCGCCATTTGGCCTTGTGCTTCGTGGCTCCCCCCGCAAACCCATCAGACTTTCCGCACTACCAACCAGTTGTACGGAGGTAAACCTCGCGAGCCGTGTGATTCCATGATGAAACAAAAAAGCATTCTTTGGCCGTGTGACACATCCTCGCAGGACTAACTTAATCGCCGTGTTTGTGGTGTGGGAATGTTAGAAATAAAAAAGAGGGTCTGCTTTGCTTCCACAGTCCACCGCTCCTTCCGCACAACTTAACCTTCCGCATGGCCAAATTTTCGAGTGCTGCCCCCGGCCGTTCGTTTGTGTGAGTGCAACGCAGATTGATGCGATCGAAACTGGAGGGATGCCGTTGAGCATGGCAATGACGGCAGGGTCTCACAGACGCTCCTGTCAAAAATCAGTTCATTTACCAAGACAAGATGCGACGCGGAACACTTGATGCGTGGCGATGCAATGTGGTTGATCCCTCAGTCGAAGCAATGACTGAGCCACGCTCCTGCAGAAATCTCGTTTGGCATGCTCTGACGTTCTGATTTTCTGAAGATTAAACTCGCCTCCCCAAGCCCGGTCCCCGTGATTGCATGCCACCGCATTGCCTTTAAAGACCCGATTTTTTATGAGGGAATAGTCGACTGGCTGTCTGTGCAACCCATGGCGAAGTGACTTGTACGTAGCAAAATCTTCTACTATCTCACCGAAATATTGCTTTTTAATATTTAGAAAGGCAACCACGGTATTCGAAACAACGCAGTGTTTGAAGTACTTAGGTTTCGTTCATTTTTGCGTTTACTTACCTTTCTGGTGCCCTCGAGCAAAACCTTTGCGAGTGAAGCTAGCCAAGGTAGAAAATCCAGAAATACACACAAGAAACGAGGAGCAAACAGAAGTAGGGCTAAGTAAACTCAGTCTACTTAAGAGAAGGGAAAAAATCTGCCGAAATCGATGAGAGAATAGAAAGTGCCAACATTTTTAAAACTATAACACCTTTAATTAGCCGATATTTGTGCGTTTTAAGAGTAAGTTTTTAACATTTATGATGCTAGAAACTAGAGTCGCAGTTTCAACATCTATGCCATCGACAGTAACAAATTTCATCATTTTTGGTACGGAGAAATGGGCAAAAAGCTAGCCGCCAGACCTTAAGGTGGTCGCACCCAAGCTACCATGACCTCGGTGTTGGACGACACTTCGACGCCAAACAGGGTCAAGCCACGTGGACACGAACAGGAGCCACATTAAACCCCCTGGGATCAACTCTATTGCGAGCAGGGGCGAAGAGAGAGGGAGAGTTGGGGTCGGGCTGACATTTCAACAAGTGTGAACAATCTCTTCGGCGAAACCAATCAGGACTTTAATCAAACATCCATCGCATCGGACATTAACACAACCATCGCATTATAAACACTCTAATGGCGCGTTCTGACTGGGGAATTACCCAAAAGATGCGAGTATATTTGAAAGTAAATTTTGTCAAAAGTCCCCGAAAGGTAAGACTCCAGAATTTTTGGAAGAATTTGGGTGTTTTTAACGTGCTTGGTGAAAAATGGTTGAGGAAATCGACAGTAATGGTGCAGAGAACTACTTTTAAGGTTTCAAATTTGACATTTGCCATTAATAAACACGGGAAAAGCAGTTGCAGGATGGAAATCCCATCGAAACTAGCCACAAATATGCACAGGCCAAAAATGGTGGGTTAGCAACTAACTTGACCCATTGTAAAACACTTGCAATCATTGTATGCGCAGTCTCTCCATTTTTTGAAAAAAAAGCAGAGGTGGAATGTTTCCTTTAAACACGCTGAAAAGTGTGGTCATCCAAACACGAAACTAAACAATTTACCAGCAAATTCTCTAGATTGTGAACCTGGCAACCATGGTTTAGGCTTGAGACTACTACGCCGTAGTCAGTATGATAAAAAATAGCTAGCAGTTATTATCTTCGAAAACGACTGGGCAGCAAAATTATTGGTTCATCCGTCTCCCACTGTGGTATTATACGACCGGTAGAATGCCGCGGAATACATGGAATGGATACAAAGAACTTTTAGCGTCCAATAAATGCTACAGCCTTCGTCACAACCCCGAAGGTCAGTTACTTTAGCTGCTTATTTTCTACTTTGGTATGAGAAAATGTCCGACATGAAGGCTCCTCACAAATGTAACAGATGCGAAGGAATTTCACATCAAAGGATAATTGATCGTCAATGCACATGTGCTTTTTGTCTAATTTAAGGCTTTCTTTGATGCTGTGGTTCAGCATCCATCCAATTTCTCCCGTTTTTACCAGGTATTGTGTAAAATAAATTGTCCGTTCGACATTAAAGAGAGTAGTTGTGGACAGAAAGTCATAAGGACAGGTTTGAACTAGGGGACCTAACTAATAGAAAACAATAATTGCATCTTTAGCGTGTGATTTATCGAGGGTTCGAGGTCACTTTTGTCGGAAATTACGTCCGTTGTATTGGGGATCAGGTCTTCCGCATATTGGTTTTTCTAGTGCCGCAGTTACCGAAGGAAATTTATTTCCAGAGGAAAGAGTAGCAAATTATTTAATTTCGGATGTCAAGCCCTCTCTTATGGTGTTTGTTCCCATGAGGACAGGTGTACACGTGGCCTTCCGTTTACTTTGATACCCTTTAACCAAAAATATCAACAATTCCTGCTAAACTTACTGTTTACAAAAGAAATAATTACCATTGACGGTTGACTAAATATACGCGACCTTTCAGTATGCATTGTTCTTCCAAGTTATTGCATGGATTTAAGCGTAGATCTTGGAAAATATCTCAAGTGTAATTATCCACCGTCTACAACCAGGAGTCAATAATGGCATAGGTATTTCCCATGAGAAATCCTATTTCATAATACTGACTCTGGCCCCGATAGTGTCGAGCACAATTAAGAACCCTTCCTACACTCACGATCATAAAGTAACTTGCTTTACGTGTAGAAATAGGTTAACATCAACAATCAATTGCTTAAATTGTTTTTTTACTAACGTGTAACCATGCCAATAGCTATCTTTTATTCTTAAATATCGCTAAAAGTGTTAATTAGGCACCAAAGTTAATTTTTTGGAATTTTAATCACAGGGTTTTAATGCTAACAATTAGGAAGATCCATCTTTGACAGCTGCGGCACACTTTTTATGCAACTTTGAACCACCTCGTCCAGCTGAAAGCCATGGACTAGTCTTAAGCCATTTTTCTATTCCCGCTGATGGGAGTACAACTAAAACTGTATGTATGCGATTTCAATTCTACCAGAAAATGTTGAAAAACCCCAGGCTCTTTCCTTGTTAAACAGCTCATGCCTTTCTGCCCCATGAATGCATGAAATGTGTTTTTGTGCCTCCTGCGTACCACCTCATCCACTTCAAAGGAAATCCTCTCAGGCTATGTGTTGGCGTAAAAGAGAGTTTAATGTTACAGATGTTTGGAAAGACTTAAAGTAGATGAAAAACACGAGATGGTCAGTCTTGGTTGAGCCCCAAGTCAAGTGATCGGGGTGTCCTGGAGGCAGATGTCTGTTCTCACTTCTACATTATAAACCGACAGAAAAATTTATGTACCTGCTTCATGGACTTTTGCTGGATAAAATACCCAAATATTTAAGGGATCAGCGACACAACAAAGGTCGTCTTGCCTTTTAGATTAACAGAATAAAGAGCCTTGTGGGTGTTGATACGCCAAATCGACACTGGAACACAAACGGCAGGGCGCGGTGACGGAGTAAGGTAATTATTGCTGTGAAAGTCTCTAGACCTCATTGGCTTTCAACCCCGACTTATAGTATAAATACCACTGGGATTTACCTCTACTTATTTTCTATTCAGTTATATAATAGTGATATTAAAGAGGAGTTTTCTTCCTGTTTTATCTCTACGAAGTGTTAGACGGTTGAGTTTATTTTACCTAAGGACTGCATTCTGTTCTGCATTTGAATGTTTTGTCTCCACAGTGGAATTTGAAAATAGCAAACAATGCTCGGGAGTAAATATGCGCTTGTGAGTTAATTAAGGTGTCTTTGTCAAGTAAAAGTAGTACTTTTTGTATTTTAAGGATTAAATTCCGTTCCAGATGACCAGGATTTCAGAAAAGGTGTGTGCAAATAACCTGGCGATACCAACAGTGGAGTTGACAATCCGTTGATAGATTTATTTGTGGGTGCCTACAACAGTCGACGTTATCACACACCCATGAACACACAAAGGTGATGCAATTGTGATACATGATGTCACAGTTAACAGCGTACCCGTACCCCTGCTTATTTTAACGTGCTTTAGCAATAAACATTCATGCCACACACAAAATATCAGAAACGTGATATGAATAATGGTCAAGTCTCCGCAGTTGCCATATTCATAAAATATGAGTGAAGTCCAGAACCGTTGGAAGCTGTGAATCAAATCGATGTATGTATTTGGGTAACAGTTCTTAAAATGTCACATCATTCTATATATAAAAATGTGTACAAGAAACAAAATAAGAAATTCATTGGCGGTGGAATTTTTCGTAAAACATTTTACTAACAAACCGGAAATATTGCACATAGAAATGCCTCGAAAAGCAACATTCAACAGACGCGCTCGTTAAGATTAAACAAGTGTTAACTTTTCGTACACATCATGTCAAATTGTGATTGCTAATCTTTACTGCTATAACATCGCCCCTAGCATCGCCCTAATTACCCAGATTTATGTGCAACTAAAGCCTCGTTTTAAGTCAAATATGGGACTGGACAATGAAGAAGGAATGAACACCTATCAGGACTTCACCATAAATGTGGTTATTTGAATTTTTAAACTTACAAATCAGCCAATAGTGTGACTTTGCTGGTGAGCTAGCACATGCATAGAGGTATCCACTGTGTTGGTAAGTATAATAGCTAATTGCATAAGGATTGAATAAGAAGCCAACCACTGAGTGAAATTCACGCGGCCATCATAACCATTGGCTAGGTCATAGGTGGTGCGTGCTCATAGGAGCTCGAGAGCGATAAACTGGATTTTTTTTGTTCACTCAAAATTTTATGCTAATTATACACTAAATGAAGCGTAGTAAAGCTACTACCGTCATGGCACCTAACGTTTTTGTGGGCCAATTACTCAAGACGTAAGGTGCAACAAAAAATTTAAGAAAAGTACTTTCTAAAACTGTCACACATCTGATGGACTACCTATGAATGTTTGAATTGTGGTTAGCCAGTTTAAAATTTGCAGAATTTTCTTAACAGGTCTATAAGTAGGCAATCAGAGTATTCAAAAAGTTTATTAGGTTTCTAATTTTAGTGGAAATATTTAGCTAAGCTCTAGAGACCAGGAATGACAATTTTACGCAGTACGTTCTTTGAGATTTTATTCAATCAACAGTGCATTTGCCATACTTTAGTAGTGGGAATCCGTACTTAAAAGCCCGTTACGCACATCCCAGTTAATAGATAAGAAAATTTCATTTCTGTACGACTAACACTTGCTGTTAGCATAAAGGACTCTAAGGTACACTTATGCCTCCTGGTTCTGTTAAATCTGGCTATTCAATGAACAGTGGCATTTTAGATGAAAAGGTTTTTACTGGGGTATCTTATCTCGATTACGCACAACCTCACATCATGTCAGCAACCGGATGTGCATCAAATGCCTACAAATTAATGCATGGCTACCGTTGAAGTCAATTGCATGATGGATGCGGCATTGGCTTTTAAATGCTTTTGCAAAATGCCTCTAAGAGATTGAAAGCTTTGTTACCCATGTTGGGTTAATTACCAATCGGTGATTATGGAGCAAACACCATTTTACGACAAGTAATTAATGATTCTGCAGCATGTGTGACTAAACCCCAGCCAATGGTTAATCCCCAGGTCCAACATTTCTGAAATTCCAGTCACCAGTTAACGCTGACTGTGTGTCAGAGAACAGCTGGACTAATTGAGAAGAGCTCTTACACTTGACTGGATAGACAGAGTCTTGGAGATATACAAATGCCTTTATGAAGCCACATCTGACTACGTCAAGCACTTTAAGAGGAAAAATTGCATTCCAGAATAAAGAGCTCACATAGAGGCAATGAACTATTTATTAGAGCATAGTTACCGACAAAGTTATTGCTCTGAAAGCGTTCGAATGCCAAGATTTTTTTCGAGGTCTTGGATTTGACAGTTTTATGTATAGCGGCTTCGTGAGCACCTCCGACTAATTGGGTGTTTTGGCTTGAAACTCGGAACAACAAGTTGCCGCCAGTGTTGTATGTGCGTAAAAAGGTTTTTTAAAGTCTTTGTTTTGCAAATGTCAATCATCCCTACCTAGGTATGTATCACGTAAATGCTTGTTATTCTATGGTATTATGATGTAAACTCAAAATGGGGTAATGTTTCAAGGACTCACTCATATTCCTCACCATCCTTTCCGCCACCTAAATCTACGGGGGAAATCGCCTCCACCTGCTTGACCTCGACGACGGTGCCCCACTGTTTTTCCAATCTTTTGGAGTCGAGAGCGAGAGGGAGGTCTGGAGTGGCATTGACATCAGTATTCGATGACGCCATACCCCGTGTACGCGTGCACGTGGTTATAAATACACAGGGTGTACGTGTAGGTAGAGTGGCTGTCGTGTCACTCTTATTTACCCTATTCCCACTTAGAGGAAAGCTTTTCGACACAAAACCTGCTCCAAGAGGCCTCTTCTGTCACCTCTTCTCACTGAGACCATAAGTACTTGTGGCGGATCACACGCGCACACTCACAGGTATACACACACACACACACACAACGAGAGAACGACGCTACCGCCGCCTCCTCTGCAGCCACCACCACCATCACTCAAAGCTAAATCCAACCTGCCAGCGAACCCACGCACGAACACGCAAGCACAAAGACCTGTGCACACACACACAGACATGTCAGCAAATCTCTGAAGGAGACATCGAGGAAGTGTTCACGCGTAAACTTTCAAAAGAACTCATGAGGTTTCCAAACGGATGGCCAGGGTACATAAAGTGCTACTGTTTTTACCTCCCGCTTATGTTAATGTATCAAATGATGCCACGGGTGGGAGTTTTGCAGTTCAAATGTACTTCGGGTTACGTGTAACTTTACCATGGGGACAGAATTCCTACGGACTAGTGGGAGATGACTCTGAAGCCCAGTTGCAGCATTGCCGAAAACCCTGATCTTGGCCACACAGCTACAGTTATCATAATTTAACGCAGGATCCTTTTGTACCGTTAGCCAAGTTGGGCAAAAGTTTGCTCAAATTATTTGTCAAACTTCAGTTTAAAAAACACGATTTTAAAATTCAGGTTGGATGAGACTTGATTCCATGACTTTGTGTTCCCTGAAGATCTCAGTTGGAGGAATGGAAGGTTGGAATGAGCACAATTTATGTGACATCTGATATCTCGTTCACAGAATGCATGGCCACTCGATGCGAACCCATTCATGTTTATTGCTGTGTGGTACAGAATTGGTTCTTCACAAAAGCGATCGAACTTGTCAATGAGTTACATTCGTTTACTTCTTAAAAGTTTGTGCTGCAACAATCGGTCAACCTAACTCCCTGTACTACACAATATTGCAATCAATTAAAGTAGTATTGATAATTTGTATGCACTCAATTAATAAATTGAATGTAGTCTTTAATCGTGGTTAATATAGGAGGCGTACGCTGATATTGTTTAAGATCAGTCACATCCGAACCGACAGTCACCAATTTGCAGTGACATTCAGACCCGCCTTCATCAGACAGTTCAACGGGGTCAACAATATATGCAGATTTCATGCAGTTTTCACTGAGAAGGTGGATTCTCCAATGTGTAATTTCCGATCATTGTAAGACAATTTTCAAGTTAGCTGACACCCCGATGAGGTACAATGCACAAGCAAAATCTGTATTCATGATGAGTCAGAGGTGACTCGACAATCAATACGCACTAATGCTTATGCTCACAGTCAGCCATTTTGAAGGTCGAATCGGCGTCAGTTTATGTGAACACATCGTGTTTGTGTCGATCTGACTAACTTGATGGTCAGAAATTTGTAGTTAAGCGTTCCTATTTCGGGCAGAAAATTTGTGAATAGTGTTATCAAATCTTACAGCAACCATGAAAGGGGAATTCAGATTTACTTAAAGGTAGATCTGAATTAATCAAGCAATGCTTACACTTAATGGCCGAGTCAATCAACACAGTTTTGTGTTCTGTGCAAGTGAAACTACGTACATACGTCTCGAGAAGTAGGTTAATACCATCGGTGTAAGAGTTCAGGCTAAAATTTATGCTTCATTTTTAATTAGGCCGAGCTTCTTTGGGGAAACTGCAAAAGGACTCAACTGTGCGGTAATTTGTACCTATAGTACTCTGAAAGTAAGAGCAACTTTGCCGCATATTTGTGAGATGTGGTTCCAGCAAGACCCAGCACCTCCCTATTACACCACTGCTACACGACACCAACACGATAGGCCCTTCTAACGCAATTGGACTGGGCGTCAGCGTTATACAGAGTATCGCAGTCGTTTACTTAACTTTTTTCTTTGGAGTATGCTGAAAACTCCAGTATACTTCGAATACTGAGGAGTGTTCAGTGACTTGCAAAGAGGACAATAAATAATCAATGAAGGTTTTGCTAATTTGTGTGTTTCATATAACTTATCAAGTGCTTACTCCAGTTTTAATGAACATTTGAGTTAATAACGTTTGACCCGAATATACATGAGTGTCTTAATTTTGACGAAGATTTATTTGGCTGTCCAGCAATTTCTGACAAATCCTGTACTTTGCTCGTTTAAAACGTGTAGACATTTCAGAATTTTCACAATTTTATTCACTCTTCTATTTGTTGTGACTGTGACCAACCAAAGCGGCTAATGGATGGTCTCATTGCGCAAAGTTTCAGCAAACTATGCATGATCGCGTTGGGCCTAAGTGTTACATAGTGAGAATTACATCGAATTAAATTATGGTGAGTTGTGCCCACTTTTGACGACGGAGAGGTCTGCTGATTGTTATCACTAGAATGCTCCAGGTGTTCAAAATTGGAGACTACCTTGGCTGGATCTTTAGCCCTCATCTAAGTTAGTAGCTAGTTGATCTGAGGAATCGGGCAAAAATCATGCGAATTACAGGTGGCTACGTATCGCATAACCAGGTTAAGATAAATACACTCAAAAGAAGCCAGTTCGTGTCCACAAAAAGTGTTAGTTGTGTTAAAGAAAGGAAATCAAGCAGGAACCGAACCTTCTATGTCCGGGACGTTTAAGCTTAGGGAGGCGGTTATTGCAAATACTGTGACCAGAATGTTTCTGAAATCCACCTACCAAACACTCGTGTGCCGACTGTAGGATCACGACAAAATTTATCATACCCCTTACACGTGTTCAGCAACGTATACCTGCACACAAAAATCCGTGCAGTATAATTCGGAGGTGTGCACTTGTGTGCGTAGAGAGAGAGATGCAAGAATTTGATAGATGATAAATGTTAATCGACAAATTATAGGATAGCATAGCCTTACATACATCATCACAACAAGGTCAAATTCACAAAAGTAGCATTGGCACGCACACCGTGACTCACACCAGAGACTTAACCAGTTGGTTCGACATGTGAGGTCTCATGCGAAGGCTGTGAATCACCAGAATGCGCCCTCATCCCAGCCACCTTCGCATCCCTGATCCTCGCAGGTGGAAGGCTGCTGCACCTTTTTCTACTGGATTGCAAACTTCTCAGGACAGTTCGTGGTAATTACATTGATTTTTTTTACCTTGCCACCACCATCACACTCAACTCGTACCAGCTTCTAACCGCCGAAACACTTAAAGTACATTATTTTAAATCGTGATTTCACATGTCGCCTTTTTCCATTTATTTAGGTGATGATGCCTGTAGCAAGATAAAAAAACGAACCGTAAAATTTCAAAATAATTTGCTTTACTCAGTGAATGCATTCAAATTAAAGATGCTAAATTTAAAAAAATTTTTTACGTGAAACGAATAGAGTAAAATTCCAGTGGTGGCTTCCAGATTTTATTATGGCTTTCTCCTCTGTTAATTCATTAAACATTGCAAATAAAATTTTGGGAAGGGATGAATATGGAACAATAATAAAAGAAGAACATTGTGACCTCGTAATTTTAAAAAGTTCAAGGAGATAAAAGTTTAATTTGTCGCACCTTGGCCTGAAATGGAAATTTGTGCATTTTATTCTGACTTACAAAACTTGGAACGTAAGTAACTAAATTTTCGGTTCAGTTAAGGAAAATTTTGAATAATCTATATTTTTTCGAACACGTCAATTGACTTACGGTGAAATCGACTCAAACCAAATACAGATACGGACATGTAAGCACAAAAAAAACTTGGCAGTTTGAAATCTTTAGATTTTTGTGCAAGTGACAAAGACGTGAATGGACCAACTTGTGGTGCATAGTAAGGCGATTACATTCAAGGATTAAAAAACGCATCAGTTAACTGCGCTCCGTGTGTGCATGCAGGTGAAGGCGCGGCCCACCATACATCATCATCATCAGGACTCGTATCACCCCGGTGAACACCACTTTCTCTCGCACACACACACACACACACCTGCGCAGTCGACAGAGCCTGTCTTAATTTTTTTTCATATTTCTCATCGATCTTGCTTTCCACACTTCTGATGCCTGTTACTTAACACTTTCGTTTGTGAACCTACAAATATTTTTTGAAACGTCCAATAATGTACTGTTAAAAAAATCTGTGCGTTGCATTATTTGTTGCAATTTATACTAAAATAAGGGAAGCGTTTGCAGGTTTACACGCTCTGCCATTAGTGTCAGTGGTTTGACTGTTTTAATTAATCACTTTCAAACTGGGATTTCATATTAATGTAAATCCAGACAAATAAAATACCATTGATGTTTACCTTTGGGATACTATATTGTCAAAGAAAAAAACAGCTCAAAAGAATTTCATTTTATTTAAAGTTCTACTTTATGTGACGCACTCCTACACATGTAATTTAACAAAGCCCACGCAAGCAACACGTCAAGCCCAGTCAGAATTATATAATTAGCGTTTCGAAAAAGTACGTGTTGACCTGAAACTAGGCTCTATCCCTCCGATTTGCATCTACTTGTAGTGCTTGACATGTTCAGCCACAGTAAAGTAGTGCCTTTAACTGATTTTAACATCAGACACACTTGAAAAGTGTTGTAATGTCATGATTTATTGCAAGGTCTGTAGGTTATTCTGCCGTATTATTTATTAGTGGGCAGCTTTTGTCACACACTTTGCCACATTCCATGAACTACTGCACAAAAACGCCACGCTGTCGACTTTATGTCTATGCTCAGAATTAAAAACAGCTCATCTGCATCCCAAGAATCGTATTGTGAAACATCGGCTCAGGGGTTCTACGCCTCTGTAGACTATAAAAGTAACCTTGATAACTGTGCGGTCATTACTTCCTTTGAAGAAATTGACCTCGAGGCCTGGACGGTACGTTCTGAGAAAAAGGCAATTATAATGAGGTCAAAATCTGGTCATAGCGACTAAAATTCAAAAATACCAATGCTCTTTTTTTTAAAAATAATGCTACCATGGACTGCGCTCTCATTTATCGAACTGTAATTCGTGTCGTTGGGCAAAGAGAAGTTGTAGTCCAGACAAACACGCATTTACCTTAGGATATTACTTTGTCAATTTCGTCAACTTTAAGCCTTCTTTGTTGTTCCTAACAGCAAATTGTCGCCGTATTCTTGGTTAGTTGGCGTTTATTTGTTTTGTACTTCTATTGTATGCACAAGTAAATTTAGTCACTTAAAAATGCGTTTCAACTATAACCGATTATGCCCCATTTAGAACTACCAAATATTCAACACGGTCAGTAAAGTCAACCTTACTTGTGACTTCGGAATGGGGAGATATTTGGAATTTTTGACTTGCAATGGCTTTTCGTCAAACTGTAATTTTTGTATTGCAGACCCTAAGTGTTTTTACTACGAATGAGTCTATAAATGCACTGTTTTAGAGCGTACAGCTAAAGTTCAGCGCAAATTCCAAAGTAACCACATTACGGTTTTCTGTTAGTCCGAATGCTGATCGATTGACATTTTACTAAAATAATTTTATTCTGATTTTGTAAAATTGTTGTAGTCTTCCGTTCTGATATTTTAATGGCCTTCTGTGCACCCATTTTTAAAGCAAATTTAATATTTTCACGGACGATGGACTATTGGCGGAATTCTTTTTTTCAAAACACACAATAACAGATGTGCTGGTGCCGCCAGTGACAGGCGACAACTGCCACCTAACTAAGAATTTAATTACTGCCACAAAGGAAACCGAAAAGATTTTCGACTGCGTAGATCTGCTGGAGAGCAAAATGGGTGAATAAAATCCCATGGGATCCATATCTTATATCAGTAAACTTCAACATGAAAACTTTGACTGTTACTCGGTTGCAACCGGTTGAGTGTATTTGTGACAATTAGTATTGTGATATGACTCATTTTACAGATATTTCGGCGAGTCCGCTTAGTATTAAAAATAGAGAAGGAGGAACGCATTTGTGGAAATATTACCCATCGTTTTCTATGACTGCGCCATCTCTCTGGTATCGTACGAATGCCATCGCGAAAAAATGGAGGGCGTTGAGGCAACAAAGTCATCGACGAATTTACGCCACCATCCTCCATTTTGAACTTTTTACTTTTTAAGGCGTGCTGCGTTTATTGGAACAAATGGTGGTTGGATGGGGCCAAGTTTGGTAAATATCCCGCTTGCGGGAAAAATTAGCATCCCACGTTCAAGAGGGTCTTGATTTGATCGAGCAACATGACGTCGAGCGTTGTCATGCAGCAGTATGATTTGCCTGCTCCCTTGCCCAGTAAATGGACCTTTCTGATCGAGCTCTCTTTTCAGTTTGTTTCATGGCGGTGAGCAGTCATCGTCCGATTAGTTTCTAGGAGTTCGAAATAAAGTGCACTTTCCACGTCCCACCAGACACACAGGAGAGCCTTCTTCAAGTGGATGTCCTGATTCGGCGTTGATGTACTGGGTTGCTCTGGACCTACCGACGGGTTGTCGTAAAAATGTGTACATTTAATCACCTGTCACATCGTTCCACGATTCGTTTTTTTTTGTTGATGGGCAAGCAGTGAAAGGTATGTGTTCACACATTGATCTGGGTTTCTCGATCAACACATGTGGGATTAAATTTACAAGTTTTGTTGGATTTTTTCCATTTAGTGTAAACGCTTGGTATAAACGCTGTTTGGGTGACTCCTACCTGAGCTGCTAGCTCTTGGTGCTTTTGCGTTGAGTCTTAATCCAGTAGTGCTAGCGATTCCCAAATCTTCAAACTTTCGAGGCTGCTGTCAGGGTCGCGGTTGGTCATTACGATCGAAATCACCACTTCTGAAACATTTGTGTCAAAAAATGCATGTTTCATAAGACACAATGTCGGTACCAAGCACACTACAAATTGATTCCCTCCGTGCTTTAGCAGCATTACTTTGCTGAAATTCATATAAAATGCAATACCAAAGGTGCTGTTAATCATTTGTTATCGTAAACTCTGCTATTCGGAGAGGTAATGTAACTCAAGTAGACTTTTTGTTTTGTATTCTAAAACCTTGCGTACGATCCTTTTAAAACCACCAAAGACCACAAATAGTTCTCTTTTAAGTAGAATTTTAAACCGATGGAAAAATCTGTGAAAATTAATTTATACAATTAATTGTTACATTACTTACTTAAAAAGCAAATACATCTAGTCTAAGATTTGTTTATTTGTTTGCTCATTTTTTGCAGGCCAACAGATTGTTAGAATCCTTACTGAAACCACAAAATAACGTTCTAGACGATTTTTGGAAACATTGTGTTCCACCAACTATTAAACCAAAGACAGTCGTTTTATATTTAAACTTGCCTACGTGTGCACAATAGTTTTGACGACGAAGCTGAATGAAATGAACTCGGAATCCCAAATTATGATCATCCACTCAAATAACCAAGGAACAGACACGATTTATCTCAGGTTTAAATTTGCGCACGCAAATGTTCCGTTAATAATGTTCACTGGCTCACTTCGAAAGTGTGCCTACTCAGGGAACAGTCAATAATATATTCCCTATTTTGTCTGATTATCTCCGGGCACCCATCTAGTAATTTCACCATTCCTTATCAGTACAATCCCGACCAAGTTAGACTTCACGGCATCATCGTTATTAAACATTACATCCAAAGCCAATATATAAATGATAAGCTCTTGGTGCAACGTCATGGCGACACGGTGCGTCGGAGTTCCTTTGTAATTTAATTTCAAGTACATTGATTATAGAACATAAACTTCTGTCTTTACCGATTGGGGGTTTGAAAGCAGCTAAAAATATGTACACCTAAAAAGTTGAGACGTGATCTATTTTGATATAATTCGGTTTTAGACCCAGTCTGTTCCGCTTCATCCGCAAGATGAAGAATAGTTGTCATCCCAAAATATCTGTGACCATCTCTAAACGACTTATCTTCTATAAAAATTCCTTTTATTGACAAAGCTTGGTGAGCTCAGCAAGCCACTTAGCCTTTAGATCCAAAACATTTTATTTGGCAGAAAAGAGAAAGTGGGTAGTGCAATGTTGTTAACAGTCTTCTAACCGGTTGTAAATGGATCTGCCTTCCTCTGTGATTTCAAAAAAATTATATTAAAGTAATCCAACATTTCTAAGCAATCATCTTAACTCTATACTATTGCTTACACTAGTGCTTACTCGTTGTCGTTTAATCGTTAATCAATTTGCTACGAATAAATTATCGTCAGTGTTGACAGAAACATTGCTATGGCCACAGCTAGCATTTTTCCACGACCAATATCTCACAAACTAAACAATGTGCCTTTTATGTTGTACATGCCCTTACACCTTTGTGGAATTTAGTTTAAATCTTGTCCATTTGCCAAGTGATCTCCAATTGTCGCCTTTTTCACAGAATGTAAGCCTTTTAAAAACTTACTTTGTCAGATTTCTTCAAAAAATGGTGAATAACTCAAACAGTATAACTTATTAATCTCAAGAAACAGAGACAAGTGTCAACAAAATCATGGAATATCTTGATCGGATTTGAATAAATTCATTTAGGTTGCTCAACTGGGAACAGAAATGCACAAGGTCTTGTAGCTTACACGTCATCCCTTATAATTTTTTTACGCCGTAATAAATTTCTTCGTAAAAAACTGAAGCATAAGTGGCCATAGAAGTATAACAGATGAAAAAACCGCAGTCCCATTACTTGACCGCTGTGTCCAAGAAGTTTATATTGGTTTCTATGACCATGCTTTTATAAAATGGTGCCGAGGTGGCCTAATCTAGGGGCTGATTCTCTGTCCATGAACTCTACGGTATGTCCAAAAACAGTCAAATTAGAAATTAGTCTCTGAAGGTATGGATGGAAATGATTATTTGTTTTTTCCTTAAGTTTTGATACGAATATCTATTTTATATTTTACCCCAGCAGATGATGCAAAAAAGCAAAGCTTTTCTCCCCAGAATTAGCGAATGATTTTGCGTGATATTTTTACTTTGTCTTCCTATTAAGCTCAATTGCGTTCATGTCTAGGAACCTAAAGGAAGATGTAAGTGCTCTTTTAGGACCCGTTACAGTTAAATTACTATGGCTGGCTTGTAAGGCTACATTGTGATGGGTGAACCTTAGAATCATTTAGTTTCCGCAATCTGTTGAGAAGGAAATAAAGATGCTTTCCCAGTAAAAGTTAATAAAGTAAATATGGATTGATTAGCCATGACACACATTACGTCCTGTTTTTCTAACTTGAAGCATACTAGATATTTTGTTCATTTGAGAGACAATATTGCTAAATTTTAAGTTTACTTTTTCACCTGTGAGTGTCGAACACTTAAATTAAACATTATGTTTACCTTACTGCTATATCCATCTCATATTGTCTTTGATTACATTACAGTATCTTCATCAAAAACCTTCCTTGTTAATTTACTGAAAGTTATTATTTAAATCTCCTTTTTATTGGCTTTTAAAATGTGGCAACTGGTTTCGTTTTAATTGGTGCGCTTGTTTAATTCTGACCCGCGTGTTCACATAGGCTAATGGATTTACACCATATTGTGCCGACTGAATTGCGTCATTTGCGGGCCTGTTTACTATGTGGCCTCGTCAAAACGATGTCTCAGTTCGAAATGAGTGGCTGTGATAATTGCGAAGATTATTTAAATATTCAAGGTGATCGGGAGTCGGTATACGAATGCACTTCAAATAACTTTGATGGTTTAATTGCAATGATGAATCCCTCGGAAAGCTGGGTAGGGCGCTGGGTGATGATAGACAAGCTGACACCAGGTGTATATGCCATGAGCGTTTCCGGTAAGCTGCCAAAAGGCCGAATCCAAGACCTTCGAAGCAAAGGAATCGAGTACCAATCGCGTGATAGGAGCAAACTGTAAGTTATTCTTGTGGGCTTCACATCTCGAGCTTTTTTTTTATTAAAGCACTTATGGAACGTCGCTTTTTTTCAATCTAACGTTCCCGTTTGTCATGTAATTTATTTGTGTAATCTTGAGAACACTAGCCAAAGCACCTACTAGCCATCTTTCGTTTTCGTTTGCACTTTGGACTATACGACAATTAAGACCATTCTTAATACTCTTGAAAAAATTCTGTAAGAATCCAATTGACTGCACTCCTTAATCAAATTCAACTCATTGGAGGGTCATTAGGAAATTGGCACTCATACAACCTAGGGATCTGGTTAATTTGGTTTTGTTCAGCACCCACCAAAACTGTACAAGCTCTCCCTCGCATACTTGCACTTGTCAAACCCAATATGTTGCATTTTTGTGGTGAGAGCTTGCGTCCATGCCCCGCCAACCAGAGTCCTCTTTCTAACTAGCAGTGCGCATCTCCCGTTATATCAGTTAAAAACCAGTAATCGCACTTTACATTTTAGGTGAAAATGGATTTTGAATAAAATCTCTGGATGGCTTTATCACTTGTACAGGCATTGAACCAAATAAAATTTGTATAAAAACCCTGTATTTTCATTTAGGCAGGTTTACTAAGTTAAAGCTTATATACAAATGGTACTTTAGTCCACTCCGAGAAGTTTGGGTATTTCCACAAGCAGAGGAAAGTCGGCTCTTTCCTCGATGCGTCCTGCTAACGTAAGTAGCTGTGATTCAGACCAAGGAGGGCCGATGAGCTGCAACCCTATTGGTAGTTTCTCTCGACAACTTAACTGAATTGGTATAGCGATCGCTGGAACACCCGCCAAATTAACTCCAACCGTGCAAGGGTCCTCACGAGCAATTCGCGAACGGTTATCCAGTTGACGGAATTCGTGCAAATTGGGAGCCGGATGTAGATTAATGGGGGCTAGAAGGAAGTCTACCTGTGTAAAGACCTAGAACGAAGCGAGACAAGTACGCATAATATGCTTTGGAATCGCCATTCAGGCCTGATTTTTGGGTTAATGAATGTGGTTGCAACTACAAAACGTCCGAATGATTCCTCAAATGCTGTGGAAAGTTTAGAATAATGAGTTATGGGATGTGATCGGTGTTTAGCTGCCCATCTAACCAGCCTGCTTAACAACTATTAAACTTTGCTTGTTTTTTTCGCCTTCGTTTATGATTATAAATATAGTCACCAGCGTCCGGGATTTACTATCTTGTTAGCTGGGTTTAAATGACTACAATGGCGTAGACAAGAACACCCCGATTTTGGTTATGCAATGTTTAAAAGCGTGTGCAACCATCGTATCCTATGCCTGCCTTACGGTGTTAGAACACTTCTCCGTATCGTTCAGATAATCTCTCGTCGAAAGTGGGTTGACTGAGTGAAAGCTCCGTCTCTTCAATGTAGCCCTTACACCAGTGGGCAACTGACCTGATCATAATCCGCCTTCACCAGGCGCCAAAGCCTTCGTGCCGCATCTAAGTGCTTATGTCTCTGTCCACGAAGCAGGAAAAAGTTTCCAGCCAATATTCGGTTCCGCACCTCGTCATTAAAGCTCCACTGCCTCGATGCTGCCATTAGTCCATCCAATGTATCTAAGTTCAGCTGAGCCAGTGTTTCACACAATTCTTGAGAAGGCTCCACGCGGAGACCATATCGAAGACCATCATATCTGTATATCAAATAGTTCAAAGTTGTTACCCCTCAAGGAATTAAGACTGCGGCTTAGTGCTTAGGCAATTACCGGGCCATATTGGATGCCACTTCCACCGAGCACAGGACCGAGTAAACTGCAGTGGCGACGGGTGTGTGAGGAAGACTCACGGATTCTACCGATAAATTAAAGTCATCAGCTAGCCACGAAGCCACGCGATTCCATACCTCAGCAACCTCCGACACCATACCAGGTGCATAGTACTCCTTCGGAATACCAATTCGAGGTGAACTACATAACTTAGGAGGTTTCGCAACAGCTAGCGTGGAATCTCCAGTCCTGGCAGCGCTTCTGGGTCTAAGCCACGCTGCAAGCACCTCTTGGATATCAGCTACTCGGGTAGCTGTGAGGGAGGGACAGTCAAATATATTAGCAAGTGGAACCATTCCATGACGGGAGATCAATCCGTAGGTTGGTTTCAGTCCGACAACACCACAGAGAGCTGCTGGGTTTCTCACCGAACCCCCAGTATCCGAGGCTAAGGCGAACGGTGCTAACCCGGCGGCCACTGCTGCTGTACTGCCTCCAGAACTCCCACCAGCAATCCGGGGATCGTTTGGAGTGGTGGACCAGGGATTAACAACAGGACCATGTAATGCATTCTCGGTAGTTCCTGATCCCATTGCGAACTCATCCATATTTGTCTTGCCCAAACAAACAGCTCCAGCATCAAATAGGGCCTGCACAACCTAGAATATCACACAAAAAGTAACGTTTTTCACCAAAGTGTACTGTCAACCTACAGAAGCGCTGTATGGCGAAACATAGTTGTTAAGGGCCTTCGACGCGCAAGTGGTGGCCTCGAAACTTTTGACGCAGTAATTATCCTTTGACACGAAAGGTATTCCAGCTAATGGACCAGATGAGGTGAATGATGTGGGCTCTGTGAAGCAACTGATGACGGCGTTGGTGGTCGGTAAATTGAGATCGGAGACGAATAAGTGCCTTGCAGCTGCGCATTGATCGGCTTTGATTCTCTTTATCAGAAACCGGCGAAGATAACCTGGGTCAAGATTTCCTGTCGTCATTGCGCGTCGTAAGCGGTCAATTGCGCCCGGTTTCATTGCTTTTTATTCCGACTAAGGAAATCAGATTAGTGTCCAAAGAATAAAATAACTAAACAAAACACCGTTAATGATAATGAACGAGGCAAAGGTGACCCAGTTCGAGTTATACCAGAGTACACAAGCATCAACTTCCCACCATAAGGTAAAAATCGACTGTTTTAAAGACAGTGGGGTTTTCGAAATATTCTGTCCTTTGTACAGTCAATCCAACGATAACATTATTCAGAGGAATGTTGCGAATAGACCAGCCCAAAAACATCATAATCTATCGGTTTTTGAATGACCTTTCTCGCTAAGAAAAAACATGGTTGGGTTTTTACTGAGATACGAATACCATGCAGATAATTTTGTTTATTGCCAGGAAATGACTTTTCAGGATGGTAGGTATGGACTTAGAAGCGACTGCTTTCCCGCTAAAGCGAAGGCGAATTTTCGGGAATCACTTCACCAATTAAACTAGCGTAATATTTAGATCTTTACATTTTCTCATTCAAGATTACTCGCGGCGAAACTTTAAGGCTTATTTAGCGTAATTAGACACATAAACCTGTGATATTAACCTTAAAGAGTTATTATAGTTTGGTTTTCAGCAAATTTAGCACAAAAGAAAAATTACACGTGCTATCGGTGGAGAAGACAACATCTTCACATAGCATGAGCTATTGACCCGGGGGCTTAAATTTGATTTTAACTTAAAGAAACATTTACTGCGCATAACCACAAGCAGCCACAAATAAAATGTCTAAAGAATGATAACTAAACAGGAAACAGTATATTTGCGCAATACCCAAATGTCACTTCACATTTTGCAGAGACGATAAATAACATCGGTTTTCAATTAAGGTCATCGTCATCAAATGGGTCGTAGCCGAAATCTAAAAAGAAAAAAGGAACAAAACAGGAAGCTTAGCAAACTGACGCAGTTTACTAACTTACTAATAGCAGCCCACAACTCTAACAATGTCACAAAAGACTTGAATAAAAATGTTCTACATAAACAGATCCAACCCGAAATTTAAGCACAGCACACATGGGCTCGGAAAAGAGGGAAGGTTTAGAATGGAAGGCCGTAGTATTTAACCAACTTAATTTATTATATTAAATAGCGTAGTGTCAGCAAAAAGGTTTGTTTCAAATTTGTTACGCTATTTATCTAAATACATAGCTTAACGGAATTTTACCACTGCAAACTCTTTAAAACTTTCAATAAATAGTCTCACCATTCATAAATTCCACCTGATCCTCTACATTACCACCACCGCTCGGTGGAGATGGTAATTCCTACATCGATAAGACAAATATAATTCCTACATCTTCCATCGCAGGTCGAATGCCATAGTCAACGCCCTCATCCATCGGCTTCATTCTCGGCACACGGTTTGTAAAAATGCGCCTTATAGTTTGAAAGATTTAAAAGTCAATAAAATGACTGCAGTAATTTTAGAATTAAAAAAAGGCTAACGCTAAAAAAATACAAAGTTAAATGGTTTTTAGTCGCTTTGAGATCTTTAATTTGGCGTTACGGCTATTTTGTTTTACGCATCTATTCATTCCTAGCCCATGCTATACTTTAACTGACCCCTGTGATCATTGCTCGTGTTGATTTAGTGATTTTGGCATGTGGGTAATTTTGAGACTTATTTAAAGGTGTTTCTGCTGTGACTTTAAACTAGCAGCTGTGTTTTGGCTGACATAGTTAGCTGTTAGATTGATACGTTCTGAATTTTTCTTATTGCGTCTCCATCTAGCAAAATTGCAGTCGAAAATTATGTGGTTTGAGGTTTAATCACTATTGTGTTGATATTTTAACTGGTCAAAATGCTTCCTCGTACTCTTAAAATTTCAAACTTCCCTCTTTGTAGAAATTTTTGCTTTTGATAATCAGTAATCTGGGAATATAATCTTTATGCTATTTCCATATAAAACCTCCCTTACCAAGTATTTATAGTATTGAATCAAGTTATGTAACCTAAATCACAATTCCCACAATGGTTCACTTTATATTGATTGTGCCTGGAAATATTAATTTGTTTCTTCTTTATTTTTAGCATTACAATGGGCAAACGAAAGCAAACGCGAAAGTTTGCTGTAATGAAGAAAACACTAAATTTAAAGGACACCAGGATGTAGGTTTGATTTCCCATACACTAATCCTTCTATTTTAAGTAAAAAACTTGATCGGGAAAAACTCAGGGATTCTAAAATTGCTGCCAAGGCAGCAACTCGGATGGTGGTCAAAAACCGGAGTGAACTTGTTTCTTGTCTGAAGGACTCCTACAATGAGGCTCTCGGTCCCCCTTACCACATCCTTCTCGACACAAATTATGTGAATTTTAGTATCAAAAATAGACTCGATTTATTCAACTCTATAATGGACTGTTTACTGGCAAAATGTATGTTCGTCCGCCTTATGTCTATTTCTAGGCTTCCTATACGTTACAGATTGTGTGATGGGAGAAATTGAGAAAATGCCTGAAAGATATCGGGTGGCATTAAAGTGAGTTTTTGTGTGCTGTTTGTAACACTACCGCCAAATGCACCAAAGATTTGAGTTAACGTTTTCGTTGAGAAGCTCACTTTTCTGATGCCTAAATTTTATGGATATTCAAGTGCTATTTTTTAGCTTCTTGTCAAGACCATGTCTTTTGCACTTTGATTGCTCGAAGTTTTTATTTAACGGTTGTTGGTAGAAAACACTCATCTGCCTAGCTTATGTCGTTTCTTTAATACTGTTAATGCATCGGTCTGATTGCGGTATATTTTCTTTTCCCATTTTCTATTTTTACATTGCTGTTAGTAATCGGAGCCCTCTATTTGCTATGAGGAAGCGACTGTTTTTTTTGTTTCTGTCCAAATTTCCTTTCAAATGCGGCATCAGTGTTAAAAAAGCTTGCCTCATAGGCTCCTTTACTAACAAAGCAGTTGCATCTTCTTGTAGTTGTGACTGCTTTGTGAACCTCTTTAAATATATAATTTCTCCTTTTCGTTTTCACGCAGCAACTGCCTTTCCTACTGTTTCAGAATCCTTCGAGATCCCCGAATAGAGCGCTTGACCTGTCAGCACAAGGGAACTTACGCTGACGACTGTCTTGTCGAACGATGTGCAGCCCGATGTTACATCGTTGCTACCTGTGATCGTGACCTGCGACGTAGAATTCGCAAGATAACAGGAGTGCCCATCATGTATATTCACAACCATCGGGTTACCATTGAGAAGATGCCTATGGCTCTCGGTGCTCCTAAAATATAAATTACACTTCTGATTTCATTGTGTCATATTCTTAGTTGGCTGGACCTCTTAAAAACGTGCTTGCTTGACTGGGATTGTTAGCTGTAATTACAACGTATTGGAGTTTGAATACCCAAGATATTTTTTGTTGGTGTTGTCATTAGGCACCCTCAATCGGCAGTCGATCATTTTCGCTGCATCCTCGTTTTGTTCAGTGTCTGAGAGTTCGATGGCTTTGGTTTTTCCTCTAGCACACTTTAAGAGCAAAATACACATCCCGCATGTGAGAAAGCCGAGGCATGCATCGATGACGCTCTGTTCCGTGTCATCGTCATTTGGTCCTTCTGTCAGTTTTCGGCGAACACGATTGGCAAGGTACGTTTATTTCTGGTCTTCCGGTGCACCACACATACTGACACTTAGCCACACCTGTTCAACTGTTGAGTGCACGTAGAATAAGAATTTCTTTATTGCCCACGAACTCTACCTCAAAGGTTCGGGAAAGGGTGTTGCCTACGTTCTTCATTCGTTTTTTTCAGTACGACTGCATTCAATTCAATTCATAATGGTTTTACAAGGAATGGCACTTGAGTAAATTTGACTTGGCACTTTGTGGTACATGGCCCCCTCTTTGGTATTTCAGCCTAGGGTTGATAGAGTTCGAGACTGATGGGCATAAATTGATGGGCTTTACCACTCCGCATTTGCGCCTGTCCAAGTCACTTTCGTAGCCCGAATCGGGAGTGATTATTATGATGGAGTGCAGCGAGTCATCACTTTGTATACCTACCCATCTTCAAAGGATTGTCAACACTAACCCTTCAGGCATTCGGTTCTCTTCTATGTCATTCTCTCATATCAACGCGTTTCGTTTTTGCTTCCGTGATTTTGAAGAAAATGTTCGATTTGGTTCTTGGACTATTTTTGGCTAGCCCACGTTGTGGAACTCGCCGTTTGTTATGCGAGTTAGCACCTGTTTGCGCGTCTACTTGAAAATACCTGAAGTGCTTTTGCTTACGTTTCAATCAAGCCCCTCTGTACACCCCGTACTTAATTCCTTTTCATGTTCCTCTCTCACACTACAACGATATCGTCTAGAACCTTTTAATTTGCACTGCGATAGAATAAAAATGCTTATATCTACAAAGCCTTCTTTCTAATTATTCATATAAAACGTAATTAGCCTCATGTGAATAAGCATGTATCAGCATTGTGTGTATTGATGTCTTAGCATCATGTTTTCTCTGACAACTCCACTAAAATCTGTCTTAAGGTGAATAACAGCAACCTTATTTGCTCTCTACTGGATAAACAAATAGTTTAGGCCATTTAGGATAGCATGTACACAGAGGTTTCGCAAGCCAAGTGTAAAATTTGCGACACGCGGGTTTCTTTGACTTCTTATTTCCCTTCCTGACGATCGCAGCCTTCGCCATTGCCAACTCACGGTTCAACTCCCCAACAACCGTCAATTGCACGACAGTGTCCACCAGCGCAGCCATGAGTTGCCACACCCACGCTTGGTAGGGCATCCTCCAGCTCAGGACCTCGCCGACGACGAACATAACCAGCAGCCCGAAGACAGAACACGTCATGCGAGTTTGTGTCGCGATGAAGGACCACCGGGTGCTCAAGCCCGTGTCGCTGGTCGCCACGGCAAAGACCTCTCGTAGCGTAAATGTCTTCAAGCTTATCAGCAGGACAGCAGGAAGGCAGTGAGCAATCAGCAGTAGGGACATGGTGGCGATGCTGAAGGGGTGAAGAGTAATGAGAAGTGATATTCGGATTTCCTCATTTTTCCAAAGGCATGTAATTATCCGATAGGTCCAAAATTTCGCGAGGCAATAGTAAAACACTCCTCCAGCTGAAAGTAGAGCAACCACTTGGACGTAAAACATGGGGCCTAAGCGTTCAACTACTCTGTGTGTGTGATCTGCTTGCATGAGAGCGAGTTCTGCGCCGGCCGCACTCACGAAAACCCAATTGCGAAGAAACTGGGCTGCCGTGATGAAGCGTTTCGTTTGGATGAGATGTCTCCGATCAATGATTTCGCCCGTTGTTATTTCTACAACCTGCATAATTTGCATGCAGATTTGAGCAAGAGCAGGAATTATTCCCCCCACGATACTGAAGCACACCCAGCGCTGTATTATGCCCGTGCCAGTAAATCTGAGTCGTAGTACTTTGATCAAAAATGCTACACTCAAGATATCCGCGTATAAAGTGAGGAAAACATTTGCCCCCGTAGCTATGCCATAAAAAGCCTGATTGGTTCCGTTATTTATGGGACAGTACAGATTCCAATGTGTCTCCACTAACTCTTGCCGCAAGTTCCTCATCGTCTCAGTGTATTAATGACAATGAATTGATTAGGTCAGCCGATATTTCATGATCGATCTGTTATATTTGAATTAGTATGGAAGTCCAAGAAGTGCAACTTCCGTTTTTGCCATCGGCGAGGAATCTCGTCGATGTGATTGTTATTTTTACTTAAATAATTAAAGTAGCAATTCTACTATCTGTGTTGCTAATTCGAGAAACTAATGCCATGGACCTAAAATGTACATTCACAAAATGGCGGTAAGAAGTTCCGTTTGCCAAAGATTAAAATTCGAGTATATTGATAGGAGAATTAGGCTACTTAATTGTTATTAAATCCGTCAATATCGCTTTTTAGGCTGCATTTTTCCTCATAAATTCTCTTGGCTCAGTACGCTTAAACAGTCACCCTCAAGACGTCACTGGAATCAACCTGGTGCTATGACACGCGGAGGTGCTTAACCAAGTGACACTTTTTATTAAAATTGGGGATATTATGGTCTTACAAAAGCCTCAACTAAGCGAGTTATCATTAATATCCCCTAAACTGACGTAAAACCGGATTTGTTTCGAAGGTTAAAATATCCTTCTCTTATTACATGTTTTCCACGTTCCGTTTAGCTGAATCTCTCAGTCCCCATTTCTTGGAGCACCTCTTTTTCCTACCAAACTGATTCACTTTACTACAGGGCGGGCTTAAGTTTTGCTGTTTCCCAATTTGTGGAGACGTGATTGGGTGTCGCCGAGTGGGTTGGTGTTTCCTTTAGCATTCGATTTTTGGATGTCGACTACATATGCCACATGGCAACTTGGTTTACGCACAATAATTGTGCCTTTTAATTATTACGTGCGCTGGTCATTTACAAGTCGATTGTTTTTTGAAAAGTTGCATCTCCGGTGTATTTTTGCGAGTCACGCATTTCAAAACGTTGCGACAGGTAAATTATCAGACTCGAACACCTCGTAATCAACTCTGAAGCACCCAAGAGCGAAGTAGCTGCATTAGGTATGTAGCGGGCTGTTAGGTACGTTTTATTCGAATCCGTGGGCTAAGTTCCCAACTTCATACATTACCACCATCCAGTCCCATTTTTTGACATGATCCGTATTATTAAGAAAATTGTTTGACCACCAAACCTAATTTTCAAACGAACAACAAAACCAATCGGTCGAAATCAGAACAATCTCCCTGATGGCACTGCCACCGTGCTTTCGAAATCCAAGTAGGGCCGGGGGAGTGTTTCCAAAACCCCATAATCCTGTCCGCCAGGCCTACTGAAAAACCACACCAGAGATGTACTTTGTGGGTTTTTGTATTTTATGCCATGGGGCGCACATACTCACACACTACCGAGTCACTGGATGACGCGAATCATTCCCTCCCCGTGGTGAATCACGCCTGCTTGCGATTGTCCCTTTTGTCCACGCAACGGTCGGTCTCGTGTTGGCGCGCCCTCGTCTCCCCACTGGCCCACACGCGCTTTTCGTGACCGGAACTGGGCTCTGTTTGTGTCTGCAAACAAAGCGTCGACCGAAGACGTCTCTCTTGCGTCTCGCATTCGGTAAATTCGGTCAACCCTGCAGACCAGAGTGCCCGATTCTGCCATTTGAGTTGGCCCGATGGAGCGTTTCTGGCCCCAGGTTGCACCATAATAAGCTGAATTAAGCATTGCTGATTTTAGCTCCATTTAAAGGGGTTTAATGGGGCATCTGAAACCGCCTTCGTCACACCACAGCCGCCATAGTGGGCTCACCCGACTAGGTGATGAACAAACACCAAGACTCCCAATGTGCTCGAATTCTATTTTAAAATAATTGAACTTTTTTTTTACGTTAGACATCCTGTCGAAAGCCAAAAATCATAGCGCCTGAAATTGTTACTTTAAATTCTAGCCAGATTAAATTATCTGTAATGCATTTTAACCGCTTTCGTGCTTCGTTACCATTCTGATTCTCTCTGAGACATTTAATCAGGTTTGTAAGTGTGAAACTTATTCTAGAATTCCAGCAGTACACCGACTTTGAGTCCAACTGCTCAACTACGGCCTCTCGTCTAACAACTGGTTCCTTATTTGATTGACGCAGAAGTGGAAGCATTGCTCGGTGAGGCTCAATGCTTTTTGGTTGTGCTAGCAGCCACCGTGACGGAAAGACCTGACTTAGGCGTTGATTGTGGCAACTCGTGTATTACGCCCCGTGCTCCAGCTGCCTGATTGGTGATTGCTGCTGGAAATGGGGGCCAGGTCTACTCAAAGCCCTATGAAAAAGTAGGACTACCTATCACAGTAATTGCGAGTGTTTGTCAAAATAATCATTAATTTTCTACGAGCCTTGACCCTACAACATATTTAAGCTCAATTTTGTGACCGAATTCGATTTCCTCATCGAAATGCTTGAGCATGACCCTAAACTGAGGAATCATTAGAGCTTCATGCGGTAATTACATAACACGTCAATAGATAGGTGAAATCTATTACCTTGGTTGGAGGTGAGTTAAGGGATAAATCGGGGTGGCCTTTGGCTAAAGGCTCATTTACTGTGAATGTCTTTAAAATGTGGGTATTTAAATGGGACTCTGGATCAACTACCCCATGACTAGTATTGTCACCCATAATACCCTGATAACCCTATGACTCCATGTGCGTACTGGAAACGGTATTTTCGTCTATGGACAATAAGTGTAAGTTCATCTTTTATTAACTGGAGAGGATGTTGCGTGGACTTATCCTAAAAATACGTGAGAGTCAGCCCGCTTTGGAAACGAAACTCAGGAGCCAATCAAAATCACCACAACCACTTGGCATGCGACAGCTTTGTTGAAGCACTGCTCTGTGGCGAACGCACGCACTATGACCTCGTCATGAACCAATTGGGAAGGGCCAAGCCAGTGGACCGGACGTGACAGAAGCGCACGTGCATGGCGGATGATGCAAGCCAGTAAATAATGTGCCCTTAGAATGCATTGTTTGTGAGCCGAAGGATGGCGACGTTCAGCCACTCGCGATTGTGACAGGAATCGCAGTAAAATTTAAAACATTAGACAGTTCTGAGTCCGATTGTCTTTTGAATAAGGCACAAGTAAAGCCCCTATTCTAAACCAACCAAGCGCTTTTCACTTAACTCCCTTTTTCAGTGGAAAGTGTTAAAAAGCGAAAACGCCATGGAAGCAGTATCGATTTCGGTCGGTGTTTGTCCTCGAATAAAAAACCCAATCTTCGATCCCTCGACTTCGTGTTTAGTTCGGGAAAATTCGGTGATTTAAATGCATTTTTCCTCAAGAAATTCCAACTGAATTTGATCACCCCGAGCCCCTCCAACTTGAAAAGTTATGCCATAATCAAGTCTTCATTACCCCGTAGATTAATATTGTGGGAACAGAGCATCAAAATTACTAAACAGACCATCCTAACAATAAAGTAGAAAAGAATCTGCCGTTTCCATTAAATTTGTTTAGCAAGTTCCCTGGGTAGTCGTGGTTATTTCGAACTTAACAGAATTCTCTGGGACGAACCGTTATGAAGAAACACAAATGTTTTTTTCTAAACATTAAAACAGCCCTAATATTTGAAGAAGCCTGGACCTCCTTTCCATTGAGCTTACCTGGTCTCATCATCCACGTCAAGTGCGTTGGGGGTCATGGAGCAGGAATTGGTTAAGAAAGAAGTTGCACCATCTCTTTAATGTACGAGGCATTGGGAAGCATTCTAATTTACCTGTGAAGGCGGAGCCTATGTTATGAAAACGACTTATCGTTGACCGATACTTCCTGTTATATTGTGAAGAATGCTCTTCAGGTTATTGTCTATTTACATTTTCATTGAATATTTTAGATTGTCATGCAATTTAAGACAAAGCCTTTTCTCTACACATTTTAGAGGTTATCGAAATTTCCCACTCCAATGGAACACGTGTTAAAAATATTCATCTGTTATATGCAGAAAAAGTAAGTTTTAATCAGCGGTCTTTTGTTAATTAAGAAACATGATCGACTCGAGCAAATATTTGTCACTTTTATTCCAGTCTTTTTCCATGTTCTGATTTCCCCATCAAAATTATCCCTAGCGGGAGAAACTGACGAATGCTGACATCTGGGTTTGGCTTTCTGAACCAATTCGAAAAGTCGCAAACTAATAGTGAAGTGGATGGCGAGAATATATTTGAATTTTATGTTGCAATTATTGTTGAGACCGAATGGCGGCCTTAAAACAAGAACGAAACTGTCATGCATGCATTTCGGCCTATGCCGTATTTGGGCATGAGTTGGTGAGTAGAGCATGGGAAATTTTTTCTAAAATGGGAGGGCGAGTCTTCTGCCTATCAGCTGGACCACAATTTTTAGTAGCCTGATCTTCAGTTAAAGGCAGCAAGATTGATGGTATAGACTTAACAGTCGGAGAAGTATTTTCGCTTTTCAATTGCCCAATTCCGACGATTTGGGTCAGTCCAGATAAGTTTACGAGGCAGTGATGTTTACCGACTTAAGTTAATAAAATTTGCGATTCCCGATATGTGGATGTTCGATTATCTCCAAACAGATCCACATCGTGATTGAGTCTGCTTACCACTTTTCAATTGTTTCCGATTAACACTTCGTGCCTCCCTTTTTGTGACACCGAGGTGTTTGAGAGCCTTAGAAAAATTCTGTTTTCAAATCAATGAAAGAACTTTAGTTAAATAAAACAATTCAACGTCTAGGAGTTTCAGCTGGGAGTTTGTGAAATATAGGTATTTCGAGTAACGTCTGATAGTAAGTCTGCGACGCACACTAGGATTGATTTGAATCTGGATTTGAGAGTTCAAGAATTCTTTCAAGCGAGAAGAAAATATCCAGAGTTAATTTATCGGATGCTTTGAGGTTGTCTTGGCAACCTGTGTTTTGGTCTTATAGCAATGCCGCATGCACGGAATTGGTAAATTCTACCAATATTCTGTTTCAACACGTTTTTTTCCACTGCGTGTATGTGCTGAAGCCACTCTTGACATGACACACGTGCTCGTTAGCGCGACTTTGCTTTCGTCGTAACTTCATTGGCGCGCCTACACAGAAGCCACGCGGACAAATTAAACGCTTTGCTCTGTACACGCTCCGCACTTGTGTGCCTTTGCATAACACCCCTAGGTCTAATTAGTGGAAATGTACTTGAATCCAATATCCATTGGTGCGAAGTCGGTGACATCATTTGCAAATTCTCAGTTAGAGACCAGAGATGACAGCAGATGGGAGCTCACACATAGGCCCGCGATCCACCTAATTACGTGCCAACTGCCCTCGTGAAACGACGGTAGCATTTAAATATTGTGGGTGTGGTCTCACATTGTCCTCACTTCCTAATTTTTATCAAACATCCCAAAATCGTATTGAGGTCGTTGATAAGGGAGGTAGACAAATGAACCGTTATCCGCCTGTGAAAAGTTTTACTTAGATTTACGGTGGCATTATTACGACGTGTTGGTTTTTCATTTAGCAGAGAGGAAGATAATTCTTCATTTCCTTGCAAGACGATAAGGTTCACTGCGGAATTTCGCTTCTGAGCAGAATCTTGTTTCCTGTGATTTCCCCTCGAACTCCTTCAGGTTAAACCCCTTCTTTTAATTCGTAGCACTACAATTTTGAGAGTGGTTGAACTAAATACCCCACAATTCCGAATGATTCGGCCAGATCTTCTAGGACCAAGGCTTGGAAACTCGGGAACGCCTGCGCGCACACCGACCTGGCTGTGCTAGCTACTGGCGATTGTTGGCCGGCTTGCGTGCGCTCTGCGCTTCTTCCGCGCGCATCCGCAGAGGTGTGGTCTTCCGCTGGAGTGAGTCACCCACGCCGGCAAAAAACAGCACCGGCGGCAGCTTGAAGCGACTGCTCTCACTGCAACGCTACTTTATCGCGATCAAAACAGGCTTATATTTTGACTTCAAAAGCGAGCACCCGTAAGCTGGCCACTAAGGAGAACAGCCTGAATGACTGTATGTTCGTGGAACCTGAATTTGGCTAAATGTCACAAGAACCCTTTTAATAGTTTGCCTGCACAGTATTTTAGATGTTAGACTATTTTGGACATCCATTTTAACTTGATTACTATAGTGTAACACGACTAAGCTGAAATCAGCTGCCACGGTCAACAGTGTGATTTTGATTCAAACATTGTCACCCGAAGCCTTGCTTGGTCCCATTTAGGTACCCTGGGTACACCGTAGCCGTGCTTACCGTTGGGGTCCAGAAGTACAATTGTCGACTGTAGTGACCAATAGGACATATAGAGTTGAGAAAGTTAACAAAGTCGAACACCGCGACCCATAAAATAGCAGTAATCACTTGTTGCTAGCAGTGTATTTTTGGAAAGCACGCTCAGCAACGTTCTTCGTCTCAACCAGCACTTTGATTAGATGCTAGAAATAATCCCTCAACTCCCAGTAGTGGGTTGGGGGATTGTGTGCCATAGAGCAAATTCCTCCTGCTGAGGCCATGTTATCAACAACGCCCTATGTTGATTGTTGTGCAGGTACTCAAATGAGTCATAACAAACCACGAAATAACTTCCCCTACAAATCTATAAAGCCCTCTAACTATGCAGTGCATCTGGTGTGGGACCCCTTTCGCGCCCCTAATAAAGTAATCGTGTTTCCAGAGTATTTCTGGTTCACATGTCTGCGCCTGAGATATACACATTCGGCAACCCTAGCACAGTCAACTGCACACCGCGTCACCAACGTTTCTCTTTCATGCAACGTCGTTATAGGAACGTCTGGTTTTCTAAATCTATTCATCATGAGTTCCCCAATTTTAATATCGTTCAATAGAATGGAAAAGTTGCATTGCAGAGTTCAAAGGACACGCATCCGTCATGCCTGATTTCTGCGCCATGATGGGAAGGCCACGTGCGTTGTAACTTTAGGTTGCTGAAAGACGATAGTTGGCAGAAGCAGCTTTAAGAGGAAGGGAAGAGACATCGGGCTGACCAGCCATCGAGTTGGATCGATCTATCAGCCAGCTATGTCATTTACTCGAATTTCAGTGTTATAGCATACGCTAAGATAGAGCAACAATGAACTTGCTCAGGCTTACGCAAGCCCGGACATGAACCCATTTTCCTTCAGACCTTCTTTTCGCCTACTGCCACCGGGATTCGCTTCTCACTGGTTGGCTGTTCGCTCTCTGGCTTTCTGCCGCGCTTGAATGCATGTTAGCTTTGTGCGTACGTGCGTGCGTGCGAGGCTGAACAAGGCTTGCCCTGTGGTGGGATGCTTTTGTGGTGACTCAGAGACCACCTGCAAGTCGCTGAAGGTTACCGAAACACACCTAACGGACACTCTGAACGCCTTATCAGTCAGCCGCTCTGACTATTATACATTAAAACAGGGAGTACTCCAGGGCTGATGTTCAGAGAAGGTCATCCGACTGAGTAAAATGAGTCAAATGACGTATCCCGAGAAGGCATCATACTGAAGTCATGAAAAATAGTTGAATTAGCAAAGGGCTGAATGCACTATTTGCACAACCAAATCCCAAAAGGGTAATATTCTGGGTCCTTGACTAGAAAGAAACGAAGTTCTCTCGATTGCAGGCATAATCCCAGCCACGATATGAAGATTTACCGTTTCACTTTTCTGCCTTAATGTTTATAGTTTCCACATTTGTGAGACCTCAGAACCTTGACATTATACATTACGCCTCCTCTATTCAATCAAGGCCACCGAGAGAAATCCTTCATTATCCACACACGAGTTTGCCTATAGTGCGCTTGACAGGAAAGGTCACCGATGTGCTCGCACAAAGGTTGAACTTCGACCTCAAACACGTACACACACGCACACAGCGGCGTCATTTTTCCGTCTCTGTAACAGATGTTAGGGAACGCTGATGACCTTCCATGCGCCGTGTGACGTGGACGTGTTAAAGGCAGAACAAAGGGCACTATGTTGGTCGTTGATGTGGTGACTAACCTGCAGACACAGTGTTCCACTTTGAAAGTCGCCACCGAAAACAGGTACTCATAAATAATCACCTCTGTTAAATAAGTCTAAACTGCACAAAGTAAGTTAGTAAAACAAAAGTGTGAGGAACTTAAGGATACCTTAATGCTGGAATAATATTTTTGATAACTGAAAGACAGGAGGAGTAGAAATTTGCCGGTGATTACTTGGATTTTTGGCGGGTTTGTGGACTAACTGGGTTTCAGCTGCGTGTGTATATGTACACCTCGAGATCATGCTTCGAAAAATACCATGTGCGGTGCATATAATCAGCGAAATTACAAAGAAACAGGTTTCCTGGATTGCGTAAGGGTGTCAACTAGGCCTAGTAATTGATGTCTTTTTTGTATGGCAGTGATTTGCAACTTCGGCCGAAATCGTCCCACGATGATTTGGCCCAACCTTCAAATCGTCATTGTTTTGGTCCGGTTTTGAGATCCTGTTGCTGGTATCTTTGTCAAAATATCGCCTTCAAGGCCATCTTCTGAGGGAAAAATTAAAATGAGACTGATTTCCTAGGAATTTTGTTGATTCAAGTCCACTAACCCAGTCGTAGTAGCATGATCCGGCTTCTCGCTGCCCCCTTTCACAGCGTGCCACCTGCTCACACACCGCCTGCATGGACCCGCTCCACTGCTACCCATTTCACTGATCCGCCCATTCAGCCATATGTACTTTTACAAGGTCACCCAAACCGTCGGCGTCAACGCCCTCCATTAGTCAGACACTATGCACAGTGGCGCGACACACAACTGGGCTGAACCATCTAACAGAAAAGGTTATCGACGCCAACTCCAGTCTCCTTGACCTCCCCGCGTAACCGGATCGACACATTCTGAGCCTTCAACGAGTTTTTTAAATTTATTTGCGACGGGAGTAGTCACAACAATGAACACACACACACACACGCCAATCCAAATAAAAGTAGCTAAGTGTGTTGCCAAGCCGCTGACCGGCGTACATGGAACCAGAGTCAATCCAGCCTATTAAATGGATAGGACTTGAATCAACCTACAGTAGCTTCACTCAGGGGGCACACAAGCGAAAGTGAATAACAAACACCTTGGAGGGGATGTGGATTCTGCTTTGCTCTTGCAAGCAGTATCGTGGTTGCCTTTCCACGCTTCCTCAAGTAACTTCCACCCGCATCAGCAGCAGGTTGATCACTTTACTGTACCACAAAAATAATCCAGTCAGATGGGTAACATTTGACTTTATTTTCGCATTAATTGAGCGACGATCAGGCGTAAACGCTACATACAAAAAGACTTAGAGATCTCAGGTACTGACGGGTCGGAAAGACTCGATCTACCGCATAACAACTGCAGATGTGATATTACCGCACTAAAGACTTCTGCAACCGGTAAAATGCATTTGCATTACACAGAAGCGTAACCTTGGGCTCTAAAATGTAGGCGAGACACTGATTTAAGCCTACCAGGAATCAATGGATGGGCAAACTAACAGCAGGTTCTGATACATGGATAAATTAAAATGTTCAAACTCTCAGACATTAAGGACATCCAAGGTGAAATAGAAAGCGTTAAACCAACTGAATATTTTACAAGCATTTATCAATAAAAAGATACAAAAAAGGAGGAACGACGTCAACCCATGAGAGGTTAGGAGGAAAAGGAAGTATTAAATAATAACGGGTGTAAAATACAAGCATAAACTAATATGTACAGTTTAACCTGAAGAAGAGGAACAAATAACACCAAATGCTAAAATGGGGGGCTTCATTTGCCTGTGGTGGCCGCAGCAGCCTTTAACAACTCAGCCAACCGACTATCTCCAGTCGAGTGGATCTGACTGGTGTCCAAGGAACGCAACAAATCGACCAGATTAGTCTCCAGCACACCCCCTGAGTTACCCGGTCTCTCCACCTCAAGTCCAGCATGTTCTTGTGTCGCGGGAACTCTAAGCCCCGACCCCGTTGCCACAGCGGCTGACTGCAAGGGTGCTTGCATTACAGTCAGGGCAACATAGATAGTGTTGCCGCAGGTGAGCAATGTGGGCAAGGTTGAGGACTGGCCACATGATATAATCGCCTGTTGTCCAATATCTGATTGAATTGGAGTGAGAAGGATGCAGGGCTTCGGGGTTGTCTGCGTTTGTTGTTGCTGTGTCTGTTGAGAAGTCGTAGCTGATTGATTAATAAGCTTCTGTAACACTGCTAGTTCAGAAGCGATCTTTTGCTGTACCGATATATCAATAGGAGGCTTAGGCTGAAGCTGAATATTAGTTTCCGCGACAAGACCCTCCTGCATAGATGTGAATTGCATTATAGGAGAGGGCGTTCGAGGTGGAGGGGAAGGAGATGAAGGACAGGGCGAAGTGTGGTTATTAGTATTATGCTCCGGGCCGTTGAAGGGTTCTGGCTTTATGGCCGTTCCGAGAGGAGGTATAGGAGGCATAAGAGTCGTGGGGGCTATGTTCGTTAAATTGGGGGCTAGTCGAGATGTACGCGATTGGGCGGACGACGGGCGAATATCGCGGATAAGTATTTTGGGTCGCAGAGGAGATGCCGGTAGAACCGAAGCCGGTGCAAGCAGCTGGGGAAACGATGGTGGGGTTGTAGGTGGCTCCGGTTTAACTGCGACCGGTGATGAAGGCCGTTTAACAGATGTAGTGGCTGACGGAATCGAAACTGTTAAGACAGTCGTCGCAGGGAGCCACGAAACGGTAGAAGTTGGCGTCGGTGCCGGCTGGACGTGAGCAGGGCACGAATCATCAACAGTGGCAGGAGCGGCAGGGGTAGTTGCCGTGACGCTGCTGGGCTGCCACTGGCGTGGTTTTGGTTGGTATTTGTAAGTTGGGAATTCTATGTTATGGATTTTAGATAGACGCGCAGCCTCTTCATCATATGCAGCCCGAACTTCTTTAGAAATTGAATTCCAGGCCTCACCCAACAGGCGACTGACGTTTGAACTTGAAGCAGCTTCAAAGATTGCTAGAACGTTACGCCGAATATGCTGAGCAAAAATCTAAACCAGAGAAAATGTGTGGTAGAAATTGGAACGATCACAGTCAATTTTAGCCAATTTCAAACAGAAAGCATGGAAAATTAGGGGAAACTAAACAAAGCCGGACGCCATTGTTGAATGTTCTTAGATAATGCAGTAAAGGCTGAAACCCTAAATCACTCTTGTCGCTGATAACATTAAAAAACAAGCATAAAAACCTTAAAAGTACGTAAAACAACCGATAAAGACAGTGGACCAAGTGATTATCACATTAAAAAATCCCTGTCTGTAGCCAATAACACAATAGCTAATGTTCACGAGCATCGTTACCAAAACCAGAAATGTATAGCTGAAAACAACGGCTCAGACAATTCCCAAAAGGGTGAAAGACGAAATGGTGGAGGGGAAATCACTGGCAAGATTTACTGATCACAATATTCTTGATTTTTTTTAAATAGTTAATTACATCTGTATAAAAGGTATAAGCATCTCACCATAAAGCTATTAAGCGGCCTTGGCGTTGTCAGCTTTCTTCGTTTCTTTCGGGTAGCAGCAACAGTAGTGTACGGCTTCTTTGCCTCTGCTCCGGTTAATCGGGCAGCCCTGTCACTCGGCCATTCGGTTGGTATGCTGTGTTCCTTAGCAAGGTGAATAATAAATGACTCAACGCCATCACGTTTTGCGGTATGACACTCAGTACACTCTGTCATATAAAGAAAAGGATGTGACTCCTTAACCACATCCATTCAGGTGGGAAACGCTTGACCTACACCAGGACAAGTGACCAATAAGGTTAAATAAGATCCTTAGGCTAGACTGATAAAAGTGCTCTTAAGGCGCTCTCAAATCAGCACTAGAATTTCGAGGTCTTAACCCACAAAAACTAGGAATTTTTTTTTCAAATTTACCAAATGTCTTCTTGTATTTTTTAAGTACCTCCTAGTCAATTATCTTGTTTTCTATTGTCTTCTTGACTAAGTCAATTATCTTGCTATTGTTTGTGTTGGAAATTATAAGTGTGAGTAGAGGAAATGCATATGAAACTAGAAGACCTTGATAAGTGTAAAACATAAAATATAAGGATATGGTGACCTGCTCAAAAAAGCTAAGTCAAAAGAGGCGATTATGACAGCTTGCAACATTAGAGTGATCATAAATTTTTGAAAACCTTACCGCAAATCTAACTGAGTAGATAATTACTATTTGCTCAAGTAAAGTTAATTAGAGGAAATTAAAAAATTACATTGACATCCAGCGAGTTGTAATCGACAGCATAGTGGTCCAAATTATGCAAGAAATGCAAGTGATACTAATATTTTCATTGATTGTTTGACCTCTACGCAGAAGTTAAACCAATTAAAATTTTGTATTCTATTCTTATGGCCTGAATATGCATTCTTTTGGTCCCTTAGTTAGTGACAGTAAATGTCGTGTTTAAACTTATCGTTTCAATATCCTAGGAGATGGATATTGTTCTCAAATCCAATCAATGTCATTCACGTTAATATAAGTTGTAGTTGCTTTGTCGACTAAAATGTGGCAGTGATATTCATGGCTTTGGACGCACAAAGGCTTCACATTAATCACTGAACTTGCAAATTACAAATAAATGTAATTCCTGCATACACTTGACCTCCATTACAGTATAGTCTTATGGGACACGGTTTACAAGACGAATAGGGGAGAAAGAGCGTAAACAGGGCGTTAGAGTTCGAAAGACAGCGGATGATCCATACGCTAGTTATTGGGCAGGCCAGGCATGAACAGAGCTCACTGTCATGGCGTGTGGCGTGCGTGACAGGTTTTCCCATCTAAACAGGGATTTTACTTAATAGGTTTTAAACGATAGATGTTTCCCATCATGTCATTTAAGTACTTTGCGCTAAACTAAATTAAAAATAAATTTTCTAAAAAATAGCAAACATTTATAAATTAATTAGAGCGTTTGCTTTTCCACTGTTACGTTTCATTTATTGCCATTATTGATTCTGAATATGGAATTAGCATAATTTGTTGCATTAAAAAAAGATCTTATATAATTTTAAGCCAAATAAAGAGATTATTGTTACATATTATAGAAAACATTTTTGTTTTATAGATTGGCTTTTACAACGTTTGTTTATTCCACCGAGGAGTCAAGGTCGATTGGCATGCAAACGAAAAAATTCGTTTGAGCTGGGTCTTCGTGTTCTGATGATTGAGTCTAGCATTAACGCACTATCACGGGAGCAGTTGCTAGTTTAAGCATTTAAATCATATTTTGCTATGTTTGGAGCATAAATAAAGTTAGCATGTGTTTTTGGATGAATCTGGGAAATGTCTTTCGGATACAAACTCTTTTGCTTACTCTTCTCCAGTGCATGGTTGCTCAAGACTTCCAAGCTAAAGAAAGCAATATTCGCTTTGAAGTTAGTGACTTGAGAAACTTGACGTGCTTAGTTATTGAAGTTTCGTCCAACCTCACTTTTTATATTATAAATGAAGAATCAGTTAGTGTGCTAATAATACATGCAACTTTAGAATACCTCATATACCATTGATTCTATGCACAGAGGAAGTGGGAATTGCAGTCTTCGAAATGGAAGTTTTGTAAATATGTTCCTTACTAAAGGTTACATCTTACAGTGGTTCTGGATTTTTACACCCGAACCCTTTATGGAAATGTTTGGGCTTGGATTTAATACAGTCGGCGCAGAAGAATATCTTTTGCATGGAACTTACTCGCTTACTAAACTAACAGTGTATAAATATGGGACCGATGAATTGTATTCTGCAAACCTCTCTGCTTCGTCTGGTAAGTTATTAATTCCCATTTATATTTTGCCAACTAAATTTGAAATTTGTTATTGTGTATGCTATTCAATAACGTAGTAAAACTTGTTTGTACGGCAGGAACCTAAGCTCCAATAGCTGTAGCTGTTTTTTGAATGCTACATGAAGTTTTTTATATTGTTGTACACTTTAAATGTGGCTCTTTGACGCAGCTCAGTGGTCATAATTTGAGAGAAATTAATTGACGTCCGTCTGTTACATTGAAGAACATTTACCAGTCTTTTTTAAAAGCTAAATCTGCAATATATGGGAAATGCTGAGATCATACTTATCGACGTTGGTCCAGTTAAAGTGACAATTGTCCAATGCCTTACAGACTTGTCCATCCATCAAACACAATTTATATAGTGCAAGTTACTCTTCTTAGTTTGTGTTGAGCAATTAAGGCCTTCAAATACTGCACTTGTACAAACCCTTTTTCAAAAAATGAAGATTCTTGATGACAAAAAGCTTTGATTGAATGAAAGATTTACAAGCATTTGTGAACGTAGTCATTGAGACTTGTTATTGTAGATGGATAATATTTCGTTGAAATCTAAATGCCCTGTAAAGTGAATACTCATAGATAGTTGTTACTTCTCTCGAAACAAAATATCATGATTTTACCTGTGTTTATTAATATATTTTGTGTTAGTTTTTTAACTATTATTAATTAAGACATCAGGTTAAAGGCTCTCAATTAACCAAAGAAATTTCTTTCAACATTTTGAAGGCATTTTAGTAATACTAAAATCCTTTAACCATGAAGCTAAAATAATACAGGGTCTGGATTGAAATAATGTTATGCAAGTGCTGTTAAAAATTGGTTCCTGCTGCCTGAAATCCCTTGTAGACAAAACGTGTTGAATCATCTTTTGGTGGTATTCAAAACTGGTTTTAGTAATTAAGGATTTTGTTTACTCGCGATGCTGGTTGATGTCACCTTCTCACTTTCAGACGCATGGATTCTAATCTAAGCTAAACTTAATGCGTCTCTGAAAAATCTGCATTTTCAAAAAAATTTGGAAGAACCAGGCCACTACAAGGTATTGCTTAATAATACTTAGCAGTCTTTGCTCCTGTAGGTTTTTAGCATTATGTTAACTCTTTGAACACACAAAAATTTGACTTAACTTTGCAGGCTCATTGGATCTGACCCTTTGCTGCTACCACAGTTTGGATTCTCATTATTTTGGAATCACGTACTGACTTTTGATATTGGCTTCTGTTGTACGCTTGAATATGTATTGTGTATTATCATTAAGTGCCGTCAAAACGTTTTGAACTGTTTTCCAATGATTTTCACGCATCGTCCAAAAAAGTAATCACAATGTTCCTGCTCGTAACTAGGGATATAACTAGAAGTGCAAGAGAATCCTCATTTTGTGTCAAATATCAGAATCAAATTTCACTGATTGCAATCAAGTCACAAATTATTGAACAATTGTCAGTTTGCCTCAGACGTTAAGTACAATCTTCTGGAATGCAAAAATAAGCATTAATTGACCATGTATTTTTAAACAAATGTCGAAATTAATGGATAAGTGAAATCTGGAATTTATTGTTGAAAGATTAATCAAACGTGACGAATGATTTTATCACCAGAAATATATTTAAGCAGATCACGCATGAGATACACAAATATGAGTTTTTAAATTTACCAAATTAAACCCAATATTTTTAAAGACTGGTCTTAGTATATTCTTTCTAAAAGAATGGACAGTATTGAAAATCACCACAATTTATTTTGCAAGGCAAAACGTGTTATTAAACAAAAAATTTATGTGCTTAAACCTACTTTGAATCTTTTACTTACAAACGCCGTTGGAAGAATTTAATTTGTTATTTTGTATTGTGTAAACAACTACAAAACCGACTGCTCACGTGATTATGTTACATTAATTCATCAATCTGTTTAAATGCTATTTATTTCAACTGACTTGTTTGTTCGAAAACAATTTCCCAAAATATCTTAAAAGCAAATTTCTTGCACAAAAATTTACTTTTGCCTTCCATGAGGTGAACTTTTAGCTTATCTCTTCCATCAATACCCAGAACTTGGGACCTTTTTCAAGAAAGTGCCATCGTAGACATTTATAAGAAGCCGGTTGGAACAAATGTATGGTTCAGGCTAAAATTCAAATTTAAATATCAACGACGCAGTACACATGACAGGTTTTCAGATGTTTGAAACTTGGGGCTGCGTGATTATTAGAGCTCTGATGTCTGCTTTCAAAAAAACCAAGTGTTTTCGGCTGGGAAATCAATTTTCAAAAGTAGTATTTTGTGCGGAAATTCATGGGTTTTTCTTAAATAGCATATTTTTTTGTTCTAAATAAATGGAAGTTATACTAAATTACGGAAATCCTGATACTCCTTATCTAAAGTACATTTTGCTTCGAAGGTGTAAGGCCAAGTTCTTAGTTATTTTAGTTAATGTTGCCTTAGTAACTTAATGCCATTTTTAGTGCGAATTCCCATGCAACTTACCACTCAGTTTTAGTCTTTCATGTGATGGTATGCTTTCCATTAATACTATCGCATCGTAAAAATTCTACTGTCAAAGTTCACTATTTCGTGGGATTAGCTTGCTATTTTTGCTCACAAATGAATAACATTTTCTTACTCCACATGCGTCGTGCTGTATTCCTTTGGATTTCTTTTTTAGTATGATGGTCACATAACTATCAGATGGTGGAGTGTCAGCAGAGCATAATGAGTATGTAGAAACAAAAGTTGGACATGTTCTTCGGCTGCACTGTCATGCATAAGAGCTATTTCTGGCGCACTGAAAAGTCTAGGGAGAGAAGCTTGAAGGCAAAGTGATAACTAGTGGTTTCCGAGATTTATTAAGCACTCTTTGGTTTGAAGAACCTACAGCGAATTGAGTTAAATCCGGTTTTGCCCATGTTGATGTGATCTGTAATCAGCCAAC